TGGAGAATTCTGGGAGTTGAAGTCCACCCACCTTAAAACATGCAGGGTGGGGGATTCTGGGAGTTGAAGTCCACCCACCTTAAAACACGCAGGGTGGGGGATTCTGGGAGTCGAAGTCCACCCACCTTATTAAAGAGGTGAAAGTTGAGAAACACTGGATCACAGCATGACTTCCTGACTAAGAAAGACGCCCGTCTCTTTAAGCGAGCTCGATTGCTCTGGTATCCATTAGTTGTCCCTAAGCCAGGAAATACTTAACAAGACTACATTTCCCAGGTGCCTCGGGACATGGCCATGGTTGGGGGGGGGGAGGGAGGGGGGCTGTAATTGCACCAGAGTCTCGTAGCAAAAAGACACTCATAGCGGGTTGGAGCATTTGGCTGCCTCCTTTTTGCACGAATGCCCCGTGCAAGGAAAGAGCGCCGCGCGAGCCCTGTTTCATTTTGCAAAATGAAATAGATTGGCTTTTTTGCAAAGTGGGGAGTGCTCAACCGGGGTGACCTCCCTCCCCCAGCACCCTCCAATCCATCCATGTGGCCAGCTGCACATGACTGGGCTGGTGAGGCATGCTCAAGCATGGGACACGAGGCTCCCGCCTGCTTGTGCCCATGACTTTCACCCGGATTCGTGCAGCGTGCATCCGAGTGCTGGCCCCCAAAGCGAGGTACAGTGTATTATTGACTGCAAGGCGGAGACACGTGTCTTTGCGGGATGGGTGTGCAGGAGGAGCGTGGGAAGGATCTCCAGCGTTGCTGGGCATTAAGGAAGCATGAAAGGGAAGGCTGGTTTGATGCTCTTTGTAATAATTTTCTTTGGATGTTGCTGCATTTTTCTGCCAAGTGGGTGGACTAGAAGACCTCAAAGGACCCTTACAGCTCCATTTTGATTGATTGATTGAGTATAGGAGATGTGGTTTCCCCCCATCACGCTTGCTAAACAACTAATTTCCACAGTACTGTTACAACTATTTAGTAAGATTGTTTTACTATTCTTTTTCTCATCTTTCCTATCTACTTAGGACTATAACTTTGTTGCTTGTATCTTTGCAATTTATATTGGTTTATTTGGTTTATTTAATTTCCTAGTATGGTTTATGTTGATTGCTTATTTACTGTAGTGTCTTATTGACTTGTTGAAAGGCTTGCAAATGCCTTTCTTCCAAGGGTTCTTTTTTTCCTGCTGGGAGTGCTTTCAGAGTAAGGACACAGACAGAGACAGCTATTTGGAAGCAAGTTTCTTTAATTTTCAGGAAGGCAAGAGATAGCAAGAAGTCTGCGTTCCTGGGGCTAGCCAGCTTTGTGTAATAAACTCCTGATTTTTATACCTTTTCTCCTTTTGTGTGTGAGTGAAATCCTATGGGGGGGGGGTTCCGTCAGAGGGTAAACTCTGCGGGGTGGTTTGATTGGATTATTAGTTTCATTTCTTATATTTGTTTAGTAGCAATCTCCTGTCTGCTATGGGTCTTTTGTCTTATTTGTTTTGCTGATTTGGCATGGCCTTTTGTTTGTAATTACTTGGCTTTTGTCTAGGGGGCTTCTTCCAATACCTTTTATCTATTCTCTTTTCCTATGCAAGTTTGCTTTTATGGCTTAGCCTGATGTTCCCTTTGGGCTCTTCCTGCTTGGGTATCACCACTGTCCTCATGAAGTTCCCTTTCCACAGACTATCACTAAGTGTTATATCTTACGATTTACGATAAATGCATTTTTTTTAATGATGATTAGGATCATGGATTGTTCACTTATAACTTTTATGTACCCTGAGGGTTTATGCACAGGAGACAAATTCCTTGTGTGTCCAATCCCACTTGGCCAATAAAGAATTCTAGTCTAGTCTAGCCAATTATTCTTAGTGGCATGATTGCTTAATTTGGAAATAGTGGAATCCTAAGGCTGGAAGAGAGGGACTTGGGAGGTCTTCTAGTCCAACCTTTGCCCAAGGCACTAGTCCTCAGTCCTTTTTTTGTTTTTTTAATACTGCTTCCTAGGAATATGGTAAGCTGATCCTGCAGGCTTTTCTTAAAGCAAGTTAAAAATGTGTTTGCTTTTCTGAGCTCTCTTTGAGAGTCGCAATCAGCTCATATAAACTTGTTTATGGTATAAATAGAATTCTTAACATGTTTAGTGAGTGATAAAATATTATAAGATACAAAATACAAAAGTAAATAGAAAAACAGTGGGGAGGAAGAGGGGAAGAGAAGTGAAGAAGGATAAGGGAAAAAAAAGAGAGAAAGAAAGATTGACTTCCAACTCTCTGTAGCAGTAAAATAAGGCATTAACATCAAATCACAACTTTTGGCTATTTCATAATAATATGAACAAGCCATTTCTGTAAAGATTAGATTAGATTAACAGACTTGGAAGGGACCTTGTAGATCATCTAGTCCAACCCCAAGATCTATCCTTTTTTTAAAATAACTTTTAATTGAACAAAAAACATTTAAAAACAGTGAACGTAGTGTAATCATCCTGACACACCTAATTGTCTTACATAGCTATTGCATATGATAAATAATACATATTTACATAGTATATACATAATACATAATGTATACATCAATATCAACAATTTTTAATTAATCCTGATCTATCGTTTTAACATCCTTATTTTAATTTACATTTTGAATCCTTCCTTTTTACCAACCAGTCGTAAAACTTTCCCCATATTTTACAATATTCAGATTCATGTTTGTTTTTTTAATTCCTGCATTAATTTAATCTATTTCTACACATTCATATCTTCTTAATTATTTTCTTAATTATTTTCTATTTCATCTGGAATTTCCTTAAGTTTCCATTTTAGAGCATATACTAGTCTTGCAGCCGTAATCACCCCAAGATCTATCAATCTATTCGGTAAAATCCAAAACCAAAATTGCATCCTTTTCCACTTCAAGCACGAAGTTCAGAAGCGGTTTCCAAGCGGAAATAAAAGTACTTATGTTCTTTTCAAAGTTGTCAGTTTTGCTATTTCAGCCAACTCCATCAACTTCTGCAACCCTTTGTCCCTGGTAGGAATCGAAGCCTCCTTCCATTTTTGTGCACGCAATAGTCTTGCTGCTGTCAACATATATAATAACAGACTTCCATTTTTTTCCCCCACAATTCTTTTTCCATTAAACCCAAGAAAAAAAAAGTTCTGGTCATTTAAATAAAATTCTTGCTGACAAATGTCTCAAACTTTTGATTTGGCCTTTAAGAACTTTACTTCTAAATCTTGAAAAAGGCACTCAGAATCTTGAAGTCCTTTTGATGGCGAATTCCTTCATTTCTCCCCTACTTAAACCCTCCCAACATTGAACCTGCAAGCCTATCATTATTGAGTTCCAAATTTATAAGGAGAAGATGAGATGTCAGACTTTTTGTCATGCCCCTGTCAGAATCTGATTCTGAGGGGGAGGCTGAGCAGCTGACAGAGTGTGAGTGTGGCTACATTGGCTGTGGAAGAAACTGGAGAAGGGCACAGTCCGGCTGGGAATTCAGAAGAAGACCCAGGCCCACCCCTTCTTCATCCTAAGGCATGCAGAGAGGAATGGAGAAGGGAGCAAGGTGGATGGTGTGTCTTACGGGGGAGGAAAGGGCCCTGATTCCCTTCATTAGCTGCAGCTGGGAAAACAGGATTTCAAAAGGGCGTTTGCGCACAGCACCTTGCTGAAAGCAAACCATGAATTATCTTTGTCAAGTCTTATCTGCGTTCTGGCGTCTCCCAACTGTGTGTGTTTCATTATCTTTTGAAGTCTGCAATTCCTTCTGCACTGTCCAGTTAATTGCTGCAGCGTGGTTTGTGTGGATTTTTATTTACAGTTTATATGTACTTTGTTTTTGGACTGAATTTCTTCCATTTCAAGACTGTTCTTGGGAGAGTTTTTTTTTCTCAATCCGAAGTTAACTGGACATTGGGGGCAAAGTTAGAGACACAGAATTAAAGGGACTTTTCTTACTTATGTGACTGTGTTGCCTTTGTGCCATGCCCCGGGTCATCACACTGTTAAGAAGAGTTAGCTAACAATGATTAAAAACTAACAGTTAGTGAGTTTTTAATCATTTTCTTTTTTTCCTTTTTCTTTTTTTTCCTGTGTGTTGTGTATGTGTTTGTTTGATAGTTTAGTTCTATAATCAATAAAGTTTGTTTTTTAAAGAAAAAGAAGAGTTAGGACATTGAGACCGAGGGGAAAAAAAGATTTAGGGATAAAACGATACATCCAAGAGGTTCTGGGTCTTCTCGGATGATGTTAACCCTTTCCAAATTTCCTCTCGCCAGGTGGGAAGAGGAGAAACAAGACGACGGGGTCAAATGGCATAAGTTGCACCACAAAGGACCTTACTTTGCTCCACCTTACGAGCCACTCCCAAGCTCCGTCAAATTCTACTACAATGGTAGGTGGTTTTCTCTGGATTTGCATCCAAAGTGGAAGAGAAACTGCCTGTAGTAGCATCTCCTGAGCTTCGTAGGCGGGTGGAGAGAAGAGTTGGTCCTTACTATGATGAAAGGATAGCCATGCCTCATCACCTACTCACCGCATGGTCATCCACCTCTCTCCCTCTGTTGTAGGCAGGCCTATGAAACTCAGCCGGGCCGCCGAGGAAGTGGCGACGTTTTTCGCCAAGATGCTGGACCACGATTATGCACGCAAGAAGGTTTTCCGGGACAACTTTTTCTGTGATTGGATGCAGGTATCTGCTGGGGGGGGGGGTACGTGAGGGCTATTTGGGAGATTATTATAGGGGAAGTGCCTCCCCCCCCCCACCAAAAAAAAAAAGCAGAATGATGGAAAGGTGAAAGTGACAGGTAGGAAGATGAGGTTGCTTAGGACAGAATGCCCAAACTTGGCAACTTTAAGACTTGTGGACTTCAATTCCCAGAATTCAACTTTAAGACTTAATTCTGGGAATTGGAAGTCCACAAGTTGCAAAGTTTGGAGAGCCCTGGCCCTATTCTGTCTTTTACACCTGCTTCTTCAAGTGGTTATACTGGCTAGGGGGATTCTGGGATTTGAAGTCCACCCTTCTCAAAGTAGTCATGCTGACTACGCCAATTCTGGGAATTGGAGTCCATACTTCTTAAAGTAAGGCATGCTGTCTGGGGGATTCTGGGAGTTGAAGTCCACGTGGTGTAAAGTAGCCACGTTGCACAGGGAATTCTGGGAGTGGAAGTCCAATACTTAAAGTTGCTGTGCTGTCTGGGGGGATTCTGGGAGTTTGAAGTCCGCACTTTAAAATTGCCACAGTGGAGCAATCCTGGTTTAGAAGGTATCGTATTGAAGATAACTTGTTTTCTAAGTCAACTACAGCTTTCAGCACTTAGATGGCCTTCTCCTTTTCTCATGTAGGTGATGACTCCTCAAGAAAGGAAGAAAATCAAAGACCTGAAGAGGTGCGATTTCAGTGACATCCATCACTACTTTCTGGAAAAGCAAGAAGCCCAGAAGGCTTTGCCCAAGGAAGAAAAACAGGTGCAGACGTGATTGACGTTGGTAGAACCTGAGTGTCAGGATTCCGGCAGTGACCTCCATTTCAATCCTGAGTCTCGAGCCAAACTTCAAAAGGATTTATTGGGAGTTAACATATCCGGCACTGCCTGGGTGTAACTGACTCTGAGATACGTAATTCATTGTCACCCTTGACCCTGTTTTTCCCTCCACCCACCCCCCTCCGGGTGTATCATAATTTATATTCTCCAATGGGACACCTCCCTAGCCCAAAGTCATCACTCATACTCTCCAGTGAGAATTTTGCACGGCAGAAACTTCAGTCACCTAGTTACCATCTTTGAAAACATTTATGGGATGCAGTTTCGGTTTTGCAAGCTGCCGCACTGCTGCCCCCCTCCCTTTCTGTCGGCAGCTCTAAAAAGACCCTAGAAATATTTTATGAGTTACACCGAGGCCTTTTTCACCCCTTGTTGAAACTCGGCGGACCTTCTGAAGGAAGTCCATTTCTGAGTCTGCTCTCTGTTTGTGTGCAAGTGTCGTTTATATGCAACAAAGAGTAAACAACAGCCTAATCAAGGCATTCACATCAACACTGACAGGGCGAGCCACATGTATAGAAACAGAGAGTAAACTCACTCCCTTCTGGCACTGATGATGTTATCAAGTCGGGTCACGAAATGTCTTCAAGAAAACCAAGCTCAGAAGAACCCCTAGTCATCGTCTTCCTCTTGTTTCTAGCGCTGATGATGTTACTTAGTTGGGTTTCATTAAATGTCTGCAAGGAAGCAATCAAGCTCAGGAAGCACCAAGGATCTCACAGGCTGTTCTCCTCCTCCTCCTCCTCCTCCTCCTCCTCCTCCTCCTCCATTCCACAAACCCCACTCCCTCTTAGCACTGATTATTAGATTATCTAGTTACCTTGTCATTTGCTTTTTCACTTCAACTACCATTTCTGACTTAGTAATGCGGAGAGAGAGAGAGTAATTTACTAGAAAATAGTAATTTTCTAGTAAATCTGCATTAAGCTTGTTTCCCCTTTTCATCCTGTAACCTGTATTCTTCCCCAATTTTCTCCTTTTGTAAGTAATACGTAGGCGGTGGCTCAGGGGCTAAGACGCTGAGCTTGTCGATCAGAAAGTTCAGCCGTTCGGCGGTTCAAATCCCTAGCGCCGCATAATGGAGTGAGCTCCCGTTCGTCGTCCCAGCTTCTGCCAACCTAGCAGTTCGAAAGCATGTTAAAAAAAAAAATGCAAGTAGAAAAATAGGGACCATCTTTGATGGGAAGGGAACAGTGTTCTTGTTCTGACCCAAACCTGGTTCCACGAGAGTAAACACAAGGCAAAGGTAACAGCACGACCTTTTACTGTTTCATTTACGAATCCTGTTTCTTCACGGATAAAAGGCTGCTTCCAACTAATTAGCTCCCACAAGAAAGAGCCGTGCCCAGTTTTTGCAAGGCTGCCAAGAACAACAGATAAAGTTCCTAAACAATAAATCAAAGACTCTCCAAACACCAACCAAGATACTCTGAACGTCCACCAGGCTTGAGTGCAAAAGCTTCTTTGCTTCCTGCAAAGAACTCCGGTTTCTCAGCTGGCTTTTATCTCTTAAGGGAGGGGCCATCACCTTGCAGCCTTACTCCCGAGTCGCCTGTGCTGCTGCAGCTGCTCTTTCCTTTGATCAGCCCTTCACGCACAGGCTCCTCGGGGACCTCTTCATCATTGCTACCAGCCTCCACAATCTCCGAAGGCAGCACTCCACTCCCTGATAATCCTGGCTCCATCCCTGCATCACATGCAGGCCCCTCATCTGAGTCCTCGCTCTCCGAGACCTCAGCCATCCGCACCTGCTGCCGGCAAACCACAACTGTGTTCTGTGGGCCTTTGGCGTTTAGTCATGCCGGCCACATGACCACGGAGACATCTTAGGACAGCGCTGGCTCTTTGGCTTTGTAGCAGAGATGAGCGCTGCCCCCTAGAGGCGGAAATGACTAGCACGTATGTGTGAGGGGAACCTTTATCTTGACGTAATAATTCACGTAACTAAACATTATTTCTGCCATTGTACCCACAAGTCTCTGTCCCCATTCTTCAAAAAGTGTCTTGAAGTTTCATGGTGTTATCTGTCATTCGTACAATCCAGTGCTTTGTTCCTTTTCACCTTTATCTAGATTAGGCGTATGGGAAATAGAGGGTAGTTCTCAATTTACAACAGTTCGTTTAGTGACCGTTCAAAGTTACAACGGCCCTGAAAAGAGACGACCATTTTGCACACGGCCTTTACGGTAAGCCCCCATGGTCACATGATCACAATTAAAAAGACGCTTGGCAACTGACTTGTATTTATGACAGTCACAGTGTCTCGGGGTCCCGTGATCCCTTTTTGTGACCTTCCGCCAAGCAAAGTCAAGGAGGAAGCCCGATTCGCTTAACAACGGTTTGACTAATTCAACAGCTGCAGGGATTCGCTTAGTAGGAGTGGCGCACTGGCCTAGCGGTGGAGCTCTTGCCTCACAATCCGGAGGCTGTGAGTTTCGATCCTAGGGAGA